TCAATTTAAAAAAAAAGAAAAGGCCAGGCGTGGTGGCTCACGCCTGTAATCCCAACACTTTGGGAGGCCGAGGCAGGTGGATCATGGGGTCAGGAGACAGAGACCATCCTGGCTAACATGGTGAAACTCCGTCTCTACTAAAAATACAAAAAATTAGCCGGGCGTGGAGGCAGGTGCCTGTGGTCCCAGCTACTCGGGAGGCTGAGGCAGGAGAATGGTGTGGACCTGGGAGGCGGAGCTTGCAGTGTGCCGAGATCGCGCCACTGCACTCCAGACTGGGCGACAGAGCGAGACTCCGTCTGAAAATAAAAAATAAAAAAAGAAAAAAGAAAAACTGTCCTCCTAGAGAAGCTGGTAGAGAGGGCAGAGAGGAAACCTGCTCCAAAGTTAAGGGAGGGAAGGCCGGGCGCAGTGGCTCATGCCTGTAATCCCAACACTTTGAGAGGCCGAGGTGGGCAAATCACGAGGTTAGGAGATGGAGATCATCCTGGCCAACATGGTGAAACCCCGTCTCTACTAAAAATACAAAAATTAGCTGGGCACGGTGGCCTGTGCCTGTAATCTCAGCTACTCAGTAGGCTGAGGCAGAAGAATTGCTTGAACCAGGGAGTAGGAGGTTGCAGTGAGCTGAGATCACGCCACTGCACTCCAGCCTGGCAACATAGCGAGACTCTGTCTCAAAAAAAACAAACAAACCAAACAAAACAAAACAAAAAAACAGTTAAGGGAGGGAGACAGTGAGAACTCCCAAGAACCACCTTGTAATGGAGCTACTCATGATTACACAATGTCCTGAAAGTCATAAAATGTATGGCTGCTTCCATCTCAGTGCACCTCCCACACAGCTGGCACTTGGCTAAGCCTTTAATTTACTTTATCTCTTTGAAGATAGGAGATGAAGGTGGTCAAGGGCTCAAACTACAATCAGAGAACCAGCTACGGCTCCAGTATGGCAGGAATTGTGTGGCCTTGGGCAAGTTTCTCAACCTCTCTGAACTCAAGTTTCTTCATCTCCTGTGTCTTACCCTAAACCCCACAGTATTAATCACACTGTCCCCTGGCTCCACCTCCACTGCCTGGACTCACAGGGAGGAGGCAGGAAGTCAAAGGGGTGGTAGGCCAGGCAGCATTGTTCCAGGTAGAAGCCCCCTGGCCAGGGATAGATCCTGAAGGATGCAGGATCCTAGACTGGCCTGAGCCCACCTCCCAACCCCTGAAACAAATGAAGAAAAAGAGTCCCTGAGTGAGAAGCAGAACTGGGATGGATCACAGGGCTCAGGACTCCTGGTCCAGTGCTCTCTCTACAGCAGCACCCTCAGGGAGTCTGTGCGTTTCAGGTACAGACAACAGGAGACCAGAGAGTTTTCCCTTCATGGCTTTACCACCAGCATATCCAGAATGAGAAAACCTATAGAAACAGAAAGCAGATTGGTGGCTGCCAGGCGAGGGAAGGAGGGAATGGGGAGTAAATGCTTAATGGGTATGGGGTTTCCTTTCGTAGTGATAATGTTTGAAACTAGAAGTGGCAGTTGGACACATCATGAATATGTACTAAATGCCACTGAGTTGTTCACATTTTTGTGTTTTTTTTTTTTGTTTTTTTGTTTTTTTTTTGAGACGGAGTCTCGCTCTGTCGACCAGGCTGGAGTGCAGTGGCCAGATCTCAGCTCACTGCAAGCTCCCCCTCCCAGGTTTACGCCATTCTCCTGCCTCAGCCTCCCGAGTAGCTGGGACTACAGGCACCCGCCACCTCGCCCGGCTAGTTTTTTGTATTTTTTTAGAGACGGGATTTCACCGTGTTAGCCAGGATGATCTCGATCTCCTGACCTCGTGACCCGCCCGTCTCGGCCTCCCAAAGTGCTGGGATTACAGACTTGAGCCACCGCGCCCGGCCTGTTTTGGTTTTTTTGTTTGTTTTGAGACGGAGTCTCGTTCTGTTGTTAGGCTGGAGTGCGGTGATGCAATCTTGGCTCACTGCAACCTCCGCCACCCGGGTTCAAGCAATTCTCCTGCCTCAGCCTCCGGAGTAGCTGGGACTACAGGCACGTGCCACCGTGCCCTGCTAATTTTTTGTAGTTTTAGTAGAGACAGGTTTTCACCACATTAGCCAGGATGATCTCCATCCCCCCACCTCGCGATCTACCAGCCTCGGCCTCCTGAAGTGCTGGGATTACAGGCATGAGCCACTGAGACCAGTTTTTTTGCTTGTTTGTTTGTTTGTTTGTTTGAGGTAAGGTCTCACTGTCACCCAGGATGGAGTGCAGTGACGCAATCACGGCTCACTGTATCCTTGACCTCCTGAGTTTAAGCAATCCTTCCACCTCAGCTTCCTGAGTAGCTGGGACTACAGATGTGTACCAACACACCTGACTGTTTTGTTTGTTTGCCTGTTTTTTGGTTGCCCAGGCTGGTCTCAAACTCTTGGGCTCAAGCAATCTTCCCACCTGGGCCTCTCAAAGTGCTGGGATTACAGGTGTGAGCCACCATGCCCTGGCCTTGTTCACTTTTTTTCTTTTCTTTTTTTTTTGAAAAGGAGTCTCGCTTGTTGCCCAGGTTGGAGTGCAGTGATGCAATCACAGCTCACTGCAACCTCTGCCTCCTGGATTCAAGAGAGTCTCCTGTCTCAGCCTCCTAAGTAGCTGGGATTACAGGCGCATGCCACCACGTCCAACTAATTTTTTTTTTTCTTTTTTTCTTTCTTTTTTTTTTCTTTTTGAGATGGAGTCTCACTCTATCACCCAGGTTGGAATGCAGTGGTGCCATCTCGGCTCACTGCAACCTCCGCCTCCCGGGTTCAAGCGATTCTCCTGCCTCAGCCTCCTAAGTAGCTGGGATTACAGGTGCCCACCACCATGCCCAGCTAATTTTTGTATTTTTAGTAGAGACGGGATTTCACCATGTTGGTCAGGCTGGTCTCAAACTTCTGACCTCGTGATCTACCGCCTCGGCCTCCCAAAGTGCTGGGATTACAGCCGTGAGCCAGTGTGTCCGACCTAATTTTTATATTTTCTAGTAGAGATGGGGTTTCACCCTGTTGGCCAGGCTGGTGTCGAACTCCTGACCTCAGGTGATCTGCCCACCTCAGCCTCCCAAAGTGCTGGGATTACAGGCATGAGCCACTCACGCCTGGCCTTTGTTCAATTTTAAAGGGGTGATTTCGTGGCATGTAAATTTCACTTCAAGAATGAAAAATAGGCTGGGTGCAGTGGCTCAGGCCTGTAATCCTGGCACTTTGGGAGGCTGAGATGGGCGGATCACCTGAGGTCAGGAGTTTTTGAGACCAGCCTGGCCAACAAGGTGAAACTCCATCTCTACTAAAAATATAAAAATTAGCTGGGCATGGTAGCAGGCACCTGTAATCTCAGCTACTTGGGAGGCTGAGGCAGGAGAATTGCTTGAACCTGGGAAGTGGAGGTTGCAGTGAGCTGAGATTGCACCATTGCACTCCAGCCTGGGCAACGAGAGTGAACCTGCATCTCAAAAACCAAAACAACAAACAAAAAAAGAATGAAAAATAGGCTGGGCACGGTGGCTCACGCTTATAATCCAAGCACTTTGGGAGGAAGATCACCTGAGGTCGGAAGTGTTCAAGACCAGCCTGGCCAACAGGGTGAAAACTCATCTCTACAAAAAATACAAAAATAAGCTGGGCATTGCGGCAGGTGCCTGTAATCCCAGCTACTCCAGAGGCTGAGGCAGGAGAATTGCTCGAACCCAGGCTGGGCAGAGGTTGCAGTGAGCTGAGATCGCACCACTGTACTCCAGCCTGAGCAACAGTGAGACTCTGTCTCCAAAAAAAAAAAAAAAGAAAGAAAGAAAAAAGAAAAATAATGGCACCAGTAGCTAAGAGTGGACAAGTGCTAAAGGGGTAGGGGAGGTAACAGGAAGGGCTGAGGGCTGGGAGAGGGGAAGACTTGGCAGAAACAGGTAAGGTTGAGGTGGTGGAAAGATTCGAGGGAGGGTCCCAGACTGCAGGTGAAGGTAGTCTGGAGGAAGCTGACTTTGATTCCTTGGCCAGCAGGGGAGAAGCAGAAGGAGCGGGATTCAGGGAAGGCCCTTGCAGCCTCTGGGCTGTTTGCTTCCTCTCTGACTGGAAGGTCCTGGTGGAGGGGTAGGGCCTGCATCCTTTGAGCTGTTTCACTTTCAAAGTGGCATCACAGGTGGATGGTTCTTTTAAAAACCCTGGCACCAATGGAATGAAATGGAACACGTAGGCAGCAGGAAGATTCACCGCCGCCCACACCAGGGAAGTGAGGCTGGCACTGGGCTACGTGTGTGCCACCTCCAGGCGGCCAGGAGACTCCCCAGGGCAGAGAGGGCCTGGCCAGCACCCATGACAGCTTCAGCACTTGCAGAGGGCAGCACCCCCTGGGGCCTGGGGTGGGGGAAGGGATTGGGTGAGCACCATGGGCTCCTTTGTCAGACCCAGGAAGGAGAAGTGGGGGCAGCTACCGGAAGTAGGGGGATGAGAAGCTCCCTCCGGAATGTATGCCCTCCTCTCCCCTCCCCTCTCCTCCCCTCTCCTCCCCTCTCCTCCCCTCTCCTCCCCTC